CCCCCTCCCAGGGGGACGAACAACAGAAAAGTGGGTGAAGGGAGACAGAGGATGAAGTAAGATATGAAAATAATAATTTAATTTATCAAGGGTTCATAAGGGAGGGAGGGAAAAATGAGGAGCTGATATCAAGGGCTCAAGTAGAAAGTGCTTTGAAAATGATGATGGCAACATATGCACGAATGTGCTTGACACAGTGGACGAATGTATGAATTGTGATAAGACCTGTAAGAGCCCCCAATAAAAGTATTTAATAAAAAAAGGGGAGAGAGAGACTGACTAGAAAAGGCACATTAAATAATTCACTGTCCCTGCACTTAGCATTGTGTTTGGCCCCTTAGAAGGGATAGTTATGACTGCACATTACAGTGAGGAGTGAGGAGATGGAGCAGAGGCCCAGGGATTCCCTAACTGGGAAGCGATGGGGAAAGGTCCGCAGTCTGCTGCAGCCATGCAGCTGGTGGGGACCCTGCACCCTCGTACCAGGTGGGGAGACTGGCCTTGAAAAGAACAGGGTGGGGCTGTGGCAGCAGCAGGGCCACCCAGAGCTGGGCCCACCAGGCAGCTTCCTGGGTGGGTGGGGGAGGGAGATGCCAGCCTCCCACCCTCTCTTGCCCACACAGCCCTCTTCATCCAGCTCCCAGTTGGTGGACTATCCAATCCCTCAGGAGCTCTCTTGCCAGTAAATGGAGCTCCGTTGTTCACTTTCCTGGCAAACGTCTGGAAGCATCCAATTGTCATCCGTCTACATCTTTTACCAGAGCAGCCAAGGGAGGCAGCAGGAGGTGGGGCGACCAGCCCACTGGCTGATCCTTATATAGCTCAGCTGTGTGCCAAGCACTAAGTGCTTCTTTATGCCTTGCCACTCCTTTGACCCTTCTCTTGTTATGCGGTAGGTCCTATTCTTTGTTTCCCCTCCTATTCTTATCATTCCCATATATGGATAAAGAAAATGGGGGTGAATAGAGGTTAAATCACTCTCTCACCCCCAAAGCTAAATAAGCTGCAAGGCCAAGATGGAACCCAGGCCGCCTGTCCAGAATCTTCTCTAGCGAGGGGCAGGCCGTTCGCCCAGCGGGCTTCGGAAGGGCAAGGCTGTCCTACTCTCCATCTGTCTGTCAGGACCCGCTTGCATCACTTTCTTGAAGCCCCGCCCCGCACAGCTGGCTCTCAGCTTCCAGTGCGGACAGTGCAGGAGTTGGGACGCCACCCCAATATCACTCCGAAGATTAAAGAATACCAATCAGAATCAAAATACTCGTTTATCCTTCCAGCCCTTGCATTGTGCGTCCTGAGTACACGGTTACATGTAGTTATTCATCTAATCCTCCGACAACCTTCTGTGGTGGACACTGCCATTACACACACACACACCCACCATTACTAAGGAACACGGAGGGAGGCTGACGAAGAAGCCTATACTTGAATAGCGGTGAGTGGGGATCATGTGGGCAGCTGGACACACGTCCAGGCTCTGATCCCTGACCCCTCTCTACCTCAAGGCCCGAAGCCCATGTTCAGAGGTGAGAGCACACCTACCCCCTCCCCCAGCAGGTCCCGGTACTGGCTCAGCCTGCCACACTCCAGTCTCACAGCCCAGCTGAAGCCCTTTGGCCCCTCCCTCTCAGGCTGAGTGGGGAGCTGGGTTTGCTGGTCGCTGGGAATGGGAAGACCACCGGCCACCCCTGGCCCAGCTCTAGGGAACTCAAAGGCCAGGTCGGCCACCAGCTCCCAAGACAGTCAAGGCCGAGTGTCCTCCAGGACCCTGGCCAGCCCAGTCTTGTTTGGCCCATCTGAGCAGAGCCGGATCCCTGGGGGCTCAGGCACAGCCACAGGGCAGGGCGGAGCCCAGTCGGGTTGATGGGTCTGGGCCAATGCCTGCGGGGCTGGGGGGGCGGGGCTCACAGCCCAAGCCTTCTCCTGCCCCCTCCCCACCTGCTAAATCCCACTCCAGAACTGTACCTCCCAGGAATTAGGGAGGTGGAACAGGCCCTGGTTTACCTGTCCCATCCAATCCCTTGCGTCCAGTCTCCTCTTCCCATCCCCTTGGCAACCAGGCCAGCCCCATCCGGGAGGGCGAAGTGCCTGGCAGCTGTGCAGGCAGAGACTAATGGCCCAGAGGGAAGGAGGGGCCTGAAGTGGAGAGGAAGGCTGTAGTGCTGCCAGCAAGCGGCCAGCGGGGCGTTGGCCCATCATAGAGGACACACAAAGCAGAGGGCGGGGTTCACCAGCCCTGCAATGCCGTCAGCCCGCTGCCTCCCTCCACCAGACACCCAGCCTGGTACTGGAGACCTGCTAACCCTAGGCCCAGCTTCACGATAGGGCCCAATTCAAGGAGGACCTGTCCCTGCCGTGGAGAGCCCTGCAGCAGTAGCCCCCATGGTTCCTGGCGAGGCCCGCAGGCCTCAGCCCCCTGGTTCCTGCAGACCACCGGAGCTTGCCTTCGTCCACTCCTGGGCAGCTGCACCTACCTTCTGGAAGCCATTTGACATGCCTGCGGCAGGAGAACTCCAGGCTGGGGGACGGTAGACAGGGATGCTGGATGGTGTGTGTGTGTGTGTGTGCGCGCGCGCCCCGGCTAGGCGTGTGGACACAGGTTGCGCTCTGTTCTGGGGCCCTCGCTCTCCTTATTCAGTCCCTGGCCCCATGGGGACGGACACCTCCCACACAGCTGCCTCCAACCCTGGGTCCCTGCAGTGCCGAAACCCAGAGACTGATCCTTCATCTCTCTCTCTCAGCCATGGCAGCATCTGCCTGTCGCTCCTCACCCCCCTCTTCCTACCTCTGGAGTCGCTGCCCCAGGAAGCTTCCTGTAAGCCCAGTCACTGAGCAGCCCTTGGTAGGGGGAAGGGAGGACCCAGCCACGCTGCTAGCCTCGGCCTACTCATCCATCTGCTGGGCCCGGGGCAGGGTACAGCCCTTCCCACGTGGTACCCAGAGCCAGGTCCAGAGCCCTTCAGCCCCTATCTGGCGCGCTCCCCTGTCAGGGCTTGCCGCTGTCGGGTCTGGGGTTATGTCTTCAAGGCGGAGACGCGACCATGGAACCTCTGCCCGGCCAAGTGTCCAAGGGAGGGGGAGGGGGGAAGTCAGTCCATTAGCGGCCGAGCTGGCGCCAGGCACCAGCCCTTCAGCGGACCCTAGGGATTGGGAAAGACCAGCCCTTCCCTCAAGCCCACTCGGCTGCCCGCCCTCCATTTCTCCCTGGGCGTGGCGCTGTAAGGGGTAGCGGACTGCAGGTGGAAACAGCCGAGCCTTGGGGGAGAGAAGTCGAAGCACAAGAGCTGGGCCTAGCTAAACCAGCCCAAGTGTCCCTCTGTCTGAAGCCTCTTACCTGGACCACGGTCCCACAAGTCTGCCCTTCAACCTCATCCCTTCCGCCCCCAGTTTTTGCCAGCTCTTTCAGGCGGGGACCCCAGATGAACCCAGGCCCACCCAGCCACCCAAGGCTCAGCCTTGGCTCTTAGCTGGAAAGCGCTGACCCCTCCTCGCCTGGACCGCTCGCAGTGGTCGCCATCTCTGCTTCCTTTCTCGCCAGCAACATGGGGTGGGGTGCGGGGATCCAGTAGGCCCTGCGCCAGCCTTCAGGGGCGGGAGGCTGCGGCGCTCCTGCCGCGCCGCAGGGTGGGGTGCCCCCCTCCTCACATGGCCCCCGCCGGCCATCAGGCCAGTGGGAGGAGCTGTCCATGCCCCCCGCCCCCCCATTCCGCGGGACTATAAAGGCGTCTGGCCGTGGTCTGCGGCTTTTCCCAGTTCCCGGCCCGCCTAGGTCTGCAAGAACCGACTGCCCATCCTTCGCCACCATGAGCCACTCATCGGGCCTCCGGACCAGCGTCAGCTCCACCTCGTACCGCCGCACCTTCGGGCCCCCGCCTTCGCTGTCGCCCGGAGCCTTCTCCTACACGTCCAGCTCGCGCTTCTCCGGCAGCCGCCCGCTGGGCTCCGCGTCCTCGGTCTCCTCGGTGCGCTTGGGCAGCTTCCGCGGTCCCCGGGCCGGCGCAGGCGCCCTCCTGCGACTGCCCTCGGAGCGCCTCGACTTCTCCATGGCCGAGGCGCTCAACCAGGAGTTCTTGGCCACGCGCAGCAACGAGAAGCAGGAGCTGCAGGAGCTCAACGACCGCTTCGCCAACTTCATCGAGAAGGTGCGCTTCCTGGAGCAGCAGAACGCGGCCCTGCGCGGGGAGCTGAGCCAGGCCCGCGGGCAGGAGCCGGCGCGCGCCGACCAGCTGTGCCAGCAGGAGCTGCGCGAGCTGCGCCGGGAGC